GGAGGATCGTACCCTATCGGAAGTGCAAAAACGGTCCCCTAAAACTGTCTAGTGTCTCTAGACCATCTTCAGTACGATGTACGAGCGGCTTGACTGCCAAAACCTAATCTAAGAAAGAGTTGAATTGGTGTATAGCTACTAAAAAAAAAAAAACGATAATAATTTAAGCGCAGTAAAAACGGGAATCCCACTCTAATCGCTTTCTCTCTCTCTCTCTCTCGGCTTATTTTAGGGTCGTGATCCTCGCTTCGTGGTTCGTTCTTCGGCGCTCTCGTCGGCTATGATGCCTCAATCTGATTGGCTGCGGACCGGTAACAGGATGGCCGGGGCTCGTCGCCACTCACTCTGCGTTTTGTTGAAGAGATACTGAACCGAAATTTGGATTTCGCGAAATAAAGCCACAGAAGCGTTGAACAGGATGCTATAGAGTACCAAATCTTCACTCATACGTCGATATCTTAAATGGATGGCCGTATTTTTGGAGAAGGACGCGATCAAGCGAGGACTCTGACGTCACGATCCTCCTGGACTTCTTCGTTCTCCGTGACGTCATATAAAGAAACAAGATGGCTGCGCTGTTGTTGAGACCGTCGAGACGAAAGGCGTAGCCGGGCCAGCTACTCCTTTTCAGGTGAGTAGTGCTTAATCCAGCAGGTAAAAATTAATTGATTTAAAAACCAAGACGGCAATTAGCGTTCCGGAAAAGGTCTGTTCGTGCATCTTGCCTGAAAACGAATTCATCCATCAAACGGTAGCGTGCCGACTGCACAGCGGCAGAAGAGTTGCCGAGACGAGGAGACATTCGGACCGCTGACCCCTTTTATAATGCTTTGCCCAACGAATAAGTATACTTTGATTGGAAAACTAAGACATTCGTTAGCGTCGAGGAAAACGTTTGATCATGCGTCTTGCCTGAAAACGAACTGATCCATGAACGAGCGTGCCGATAGCTTGGCGACAGAAAAGTTGTCATTGATGAAGAGTCAGACCGCTACCCTTTTTAAAATGCTTAGCCCAGGCGCAGCGAATAAAGATACTTCGATTGGAAAGCCGAAACATCAGTTAGCGTCGAGGATAATGTTTGTTGATACGTCTTGCCTGAAAACGAATTGATCTATCGAACGAGCGTGCCCATAGCTCAGCGACAGAAAAGTTGTCATTGATGAAGAGTCAGACCGCTACCCTGTTTTAAAATGCTTAGTTCTGCCGCAGCGAATAAAGACACCTCGATTGGAAAGCCGAAGCATCGGTTAGCGTTGCGAGAAAAGTTTGTTCATGCATCTCGCCTGAAATAAACATACCGTAGCTAAGGTTGAAGCTATGTTTATTCATGCGTCTTGCCTGAAAACGAATTGACGTGATATCTTTTGAACGACGGTGTGCCGGCATCGGCGTAGCACATCGACGGCTTCCGTCTGACAATATCTGACAAGTTTGAGTTTCCTGCGTCGACAAGCGGGTTCAAGAATGTTGTCTTTAATTTAAATATGAGCAGCATGCATGGTAAATAAATAGATCGGCCAAGGTAACTTTCCGCATATGTGCTCAAAACGAGTCGACAAACCATTTAGGAATAATAAAACGTTCCTAGAAATACTTTAAAAGATGAAAACAGCGCCTAAAGACGACGGAACGGATGAAGGAAGACATGGACCGAGCGCTGACTCGCAACTAAATTTTATTGAACGCAGTCGAGAACAACAACGAAGAGGATCAGCCTAAAAAAAACACAAAACAATAAGCTCAAAAAAACGAAGTACCGCCTCTAAAAAGCCATGCGGAGGGCACGCTCTGAGCCCAAGCGAATCAAGAGGCCAGAAAATCAATCTCCGTTCTTGACAAGGCAGCCGAAGGACTACTGACTCACATAACACCTAATCTTTCTATTTCTAATGCCTCAAAAATTTCGCTTGTCAGTTGGTCCCGATGTCGTTATATGAACTCACAAAGTTGAAACTGAGGCTGGCATCTCTACAGTCATGACAATGTATGCCAACGTGACCAGAAATCGCTTAAGAGACGTTGTAGGAAGGCACTGTTTTCATCTTTTAAAGGATGTCGTACCAACTCGCCCAAGTTTTAACTTTAGCAAAGTTCGTGGAAACTTCATAACGTCGCCATCTCTTTTACTTTACATCGGTGTAGCACGGCTGCTGGCCCGTCGCCTGCCGGATCACGAGCGGGAATTGAAGCCAGTTTATACCACAAAAGACTTCCGAATCGCGAGTCATCAACCAACCAAATCGGGCCGCCCCAAAAAGTCCCCTTCCCCCCGGAACTTCTCTGTTCAGCATCTATTTTCATCGAAGCTAAAAAAGGGGAAAGAGAGGCGGGCTGTTTACAGTCTGTAACTAAGACGCAGTACTCATCGTCATAGCCTACACTCGAAAGACTTCTCGAGCGATCTTCAGAGGGAGATCGACAAAGGACGACGACCGGTTTCATTTCTCTTTCTATGAAACGAACCATGTCGATGAAAAATTGCCGTGTTGGCGAAAACAGCCCGTTTATGAAGCGTCGTTAGACGACGTGCTTGCCAGTACTCCAAATAACCGAAACCTTCGAAGGAAAAAAAAAAAAAAAGATCTGCGTGGAGGCATTTCGCACAACGGATTTCACCGTGCCCAGTGTTACAGCCACAGACTCTCCGGGTGCCGCCATCTTGCTGACGTCACGCAGCGGCGTGACGTCAGAGAGGTGAGTTCGGGTGGAAAGCGGGGCGTGGCGGGTTCTAAACATCTCATTACCGCTCCGTGGCCAATGAAATTGCGCCATGGGCCGATCAGAATGCCCGAAGAGCCAATCACGAAGCAAGGAGCGAGAATTAACATAATAGGCTACGCCCTGCATTTTTGAAGTCTGAACGTCCACATCAGGCGATTTGTTTGTTCACGACATTACACCTAAATTTTATTGATTTATTTATGAATTTAGAGAAACTGTACACCATGTTCGGTCCCATAGCTGCAGTCATTAAAGGGTGTTAACATTTTTTTACACAAAATTTTAATTGATTTTTTTAATCATTTTAACACAAAGACCCCTATGAAAGAAAAAAAAATCTGTCACGGGCAGCTTGGGAGTGCCTAGAGCTTACATTATGTTATGCCGAAAAGAAGCAGAATATATAGAAATAACCCGATTTCAGCGTTGTTGATTCTAGATCGCATCCGTTTCCATGGAGATCTGTTTATACAGGCTCATGAAGTCGTGCCTTGCATTCGACTTCCGCCAAACGTACGGAAGATCACCTCTCTCGGACCCTTTAATTTTATTTGACATAGTTTATACAAAGACAACATTTCAGACTTCAATTGATAGGCCTGTCACTTATCTCATGTGCCAAGCACGTCGTTAATCAAACGTCGGTAAAACAAATAGCTCATTTTCTAACGCGAACGTTGTGAAATGCGGTTAATAAGTACTTTGGCAGGATCAATAGCTAAAGGAATTTCCCACCCGACCTAGGACGGAGGATTGAAATATTTGTCGAGTACTTAATTTCTTTAAGGAAAACAACACAAGACGATATAACTTCTTTTTTTTTTTTTTTTTTTAGATTATCTGCATTATTATAGGATATATTTTAAGTCTCTGGAGTACACAAAAAGTATCACAGTTTTATCAGTTGTGTGCTATAACCGGCAGATTTGTATCATGAAATTATGCGAAACCGAAACCAATCAAATTGAAGTCACCCAACGGCGGAGAGTGCGCCAGCACCCTCTACCCGCCGGTCAAATAACTACTAAAATCCAAATGTAAAAAAAAAAAAAAAAAAAAGTTATGTTTATAAATGAAGCAGTGAATCGAGTGCAATTAAACTCTTCACAAAGGTGTCTTTAGGTAGTGTATTTATTGTAAACATTTGAGCATAAAAATAAAAAAAAAAGCTGCTTTTCTATTTATTCACAGGGAGGAAAACGGCAGAAGAACAGTCTAGGGAATGTTGCTACTCGCAGATTGGCGGCGCAGCATAAAGAAGAAAACAAAGAAAAAGAAACGTGAAAGCTTCTTTGAGATGATTAGCCGAAAGCAGATCGGAATCTGCGCGGTACCATCTGGACGTAGTAGTGTTAACCAGATGGTTTTTGCCGCTTTCCTTCCTGTGCTTAGCTAAAAATAGATTAATTCTAAGCTTAATTCCTTCTGTTCTTTTTTTTTTGTTTTTTTTTTTAATTTAGACTTGTTATACGTATTTGGTAATGATAAATGCAGCATCTAAGACGCCTTTTGTGAAGAGCTTCAACGCGCTCCGTTCGTTGGTTTATTTATACGAATGTTTTCACGCACGAACATCGCTCAGAAGCACTTTGTAGACCCTGAGGCCATAAGGAATAATATAACGAACAACAGGACACATCCTTCCTTCTCTCAGGATTTACGGTACGATGTTTTCTGACCAGCTCGTCTGCATACTTGTTTTCCTTAGAGTAGCCATTTCTTTTCTTTTTTTTCTCCCTCGTGTCTTATTGTATAGTGTATAAAAATGAATGACAGTGTGCGTCGTACGCCGAGCACCTTACTACCTCCTTAATAAATACTGGGTAGGAAAGCTAATCCTTAAGGTTATAAAACACACGCACACACACACACACACACACACACACACACACAGATATGTATTAAAGGGAACGCAGGCGGCAAGTGCGCGCAGACCGCTATATAAGAATGTGTATTGACGGCACCGAAAGTACGGTCGCTTAGCGTGACACAACGATGCAGCTGGGAGCACGAGGAGCGAAAGCTCGTGCTGTAGAACCCAGCGACCCCGTGCTCAATCCCCGCCCCTGCTGGTCTCGATCTCGATCAGCATCGTTCGGATGTGTGTGCTCGTGTGCCACTACCACAGTGGTACTGCACTGTCTAAATTTCCCATCTGTATTTTCGCGCTGTTTAAGCATGCGTACAACACTATTGTCGCCGAGTAGAGTTCGTTTAATGTCGTCGTCTATAAATGAGTATACAAAAAAAAAAAAAAATTGCGTGGCTCCACTCACCTTCGCCACCTGTCCCTTGAGGATGGACGGAAAGTACACGTGACCCAAAATCCCGACCAAGAGCAGAATACCGCAGATGGCGGCGAAAGTGCCCAGGCAGATCTTGCTCCTCCTCGTCGTCATCTTGAATCACGGAATCCTTTTTTGTTCTTGTGTCGTCGTTACCCAAGACACGGAGACGTACCAACCGTTGATCGCGTACTCTCAAAACAGACAAACAAAAACTGAAGAAAAGAACCAGAAAACAATTGAGACGTCCAATAAACAAATTATGGTTTGTCACAAAAAAAAAATTATAACAAAAAAAAACTACCAATTGATGATGCGTTCGGTAAGCAGCGGAGGCGAGCACACGTTCATTGCCACACGGGGAGTTCGTCAAATGCCGCGCGCGTGCAAGATGGCTTTAAGTACCGTCTCCCCCTTTCCCCTTCTACTTCTTTCTCTCGGCGGGTTCACCCCCTTTCTCTCCTCCTGTCCGCTTCTTAGGCTCTCGTACCTCGTACTCTCCTCCTTTTTCGCACCTCTTCCCCCTCTCTCTCTTTCCCGATACCGACCTCCTCCTTCTCCTCTTTCTCCCAGCGGCACATTCCGTCGGCGCGTTCGATGAAAGGCAGGAGGCACCTCACAGGGCTACTCGACGTGTCTTTTATTGTTTTTGTTTCTTGTTTTTAGTATCTCCATTACGAATTACGCTCAAAATCGGGGTCTGGTTTTGATCGACGCGTGAAACCGGTCACGCCAAAAGATTAGTTTTAGGAGATACAGGAGGAAACGCGGGCAAGCCGGCGAACTTTCTATCGTGATTCGTGATCCGGGTTAGACACCACATCCAAACTTCCAGGAGAGAAAATAAAAAATAAAAAAAATATACCACACATACAAATGCCCAAAGCATTCCGAGTTTGATGCGCGACTTTTATTCTTACCATCGTCTGTCATTCGCTTTATTCATATCCCCTAAAGCTGCGGTTCCACTGCTAACGCGTCATAAAAAAAGTCTCGTAGACACACTGTAAGGTCGTTTTAGACTTCGGATAGGTGGCGCAACCTAACGCCCGTCACAGAGGGTATCCGCGACTCCAACTAACTATAGGTGGCGCCACTCATTTTCCAAGATGGCGGGTTTAGTGAGGGTCAGAGATGCGTGCCGCTGTTGAGCCCGTCTAGTGTGCTGGCTTCACTGAGCGACATAAATTATTTCTGGTAATACAAGGAAGCTAATGTTTTATGAGCGCAGGTTACCCCTTTAACCTGAAAACAAGAACGGTGTTTAGCGTATTTTTTACGGAAGGATGCGCGTTTTAATTCTGGAGCGAAACCGAAACTTACCTCTATTTTGGATTTAATTTCTCGATATAGGCCTTAATTTCGAATTATTTCACGACTCAAGATGTGTCTCACATCGTAATTATTTACTTAGAAAAGTTGTTCGCGGAAACTTTATTTTGTGACATATTGTTCGATCCAGGGTGATATTTGTAGTTGTTGAAAAAATCAGTGCTGATATCTGTGCGTTCTCGCAGCCTTTCTCTCGCTCAGATAATTGTCATGGGAAATAATGACAATTATTCCAGCACAAGAATAACAAAATAATTCTAATTTTTATAATATGTCCACGAAACGTATAAACTAATAAACGCTGCTCTCACTTCAACAACCCAAAGACGGAATCCGAGTCAGACAGCTGAAGTGTGTGTGTTTGTTTATAGCACCGCGTGACGTGTAGGACTTCATATTACATCCATTGTTTGACTGTTTGTCTATCTTGATAACTATGTCAGAGTTTTTCATATGCTAAAAAGAAAACAGAATTATACCTTTCTGGAAAGACTATTATTGTTAAATAGCGTATTCTCGCGATCTTGGCGTTAATTGGAGACATACTTTGCCGCGATTTGTATTATAATAATAATATTAAAAGTCACATATTTGAATAAGTAATTCTTTAAGTTCTAATATAATTTGTTGCTTATGATCTAATTTTAAACGCGCGAAGAAATATGACAATAAAAACTGTGCTAATTATCATCACTGGTGTTGCTGCATTTTAATTACCAATAAAAAAATTGTCTAAAATCAATGAAAACATTTTAGCGAATGTGAGAAATCCATGTAAAATTACATTAATTGTGAATAAAGTATATTGTGCTCAAAGTCGCGACTTCTGACAACCGGCGAAACGCCCAAAGTCGCCACCAATAACCTTCCAAACCAAATGCCCAAAAGTAAAAAAAAAAGAAAAGAAAAAAAGCTTTTTTTTAATTATTAGTTTTTTCATAACATTTATTTACTTTTGTATTTGCTCGCCGTTGTTTTGCCAATCTCAACCTTTCCAGTTCGAAGGAACGCCTACCTGCTTGCACGTCTGGTCACTGCAGCACGTTTCGTTGGCGTTGGAAGCCGGTGAAACAGTTGTGGGTTTTAATATTGCGTATACGAGCGAACTCAAGCCCTGTGTGTTTGCGTTAGCTTTACGTGTTCCACACTGCGCGTGCGCAGAGCCCGAAATTGCGGTCTTGGATGGCGCATGGCGATGGGGCGCACGCACAACGTGGGGCACGGAACTCTAACGCAAACGCATACCGCTTGCGTTTGCTTCTATGCGCAATACTAAAACTCTCCAGTAAGGCACAATCCCATACCGGCTGCAGCACTACGTTGGGACAGTGAAGAGTCTTGTTTACATTCGGAAACGACATTTCGCGAGCCATGATCGCGAGCAGTTCCGCCATGCCCGCTGAGCAGGAGAGTCGGGGGACCCTCGCTAGAGCGCTTCCCGTTTCCGCCGCGGGAGGGCGAGCGTCGAGCTGGAGACGCGATATATCATTAACATCCAGCCATCCTTCCTCGTATGGCGGTCACATTGGTCATCCAAGAACTGTCCGCGGACATCAACGAGGTAGAGGGCCTTACAGCGATAAACTCGCAGCTGAAAGTGACCCCCGATTGGCCGCCGCCATGTTGCACATTTTTTTACCACTAGACACGTCTATATTTTAACGAAGTACCACGCACAAATAATTGCTTGTTGATCTTTAATAGCTGTATACCGACGGGATAAGTTATGTTTCTTTTGCTTCAAGTTAAAACTGTGCTTTTACGACAAAAACTCGGGCAGCTTCGCGATGCCTCCGCTGGATGCCATCATCCGCGATGCTGTATTTCGGGTTTCTATATGAGTTAGACACTGAACTCTGGGGCTAACAGCATTGAAAAAAATAGTCTTTTGATTTTTTTACCGCGATTGCACTACACATTTTGGCCCAGTTATGCGTAAAAGCCGCAGGATTTGGTACGGTCACGTGTTCAGTGGTGAAAATTGTACAACATGGTGGCAGCCAGGTTGGGGGGGGGGGGGGGGGGGGTCACTTTTGCCTGGTGAACGGGATACCAGCGTATCGCTCTAACCGCTAATTCACACTGGAAGCGGATCCGCGTTCGCAGAGCGGTTGCGAACGCGGTTGTATGAAGATCCAGTACAATCTCACGCGCACTCGATGACATCAAGTGCGCATGCAATTGTACTGGATCTTTATACAATCGCGTTCGCAACCGCTTTGCGAACGCGGATCTGCTTCCAGTGTGAATGAGCGGTAAGCCCTTCTACCTCGTTGGCAGACATGTTCGAAGCACTCATATGTACGAAGCAAACCTGCTTGGGACGTGCTTGAAACATGTCCCCGGATAATGATCTCATAATGTCTGCGGAGAAACTCCGAGTCTTTTGTATGACGTAGAGAGTAGTGTGACGTCTTTTGTATGACGTATAGAGCCCTTCGCGCCCGGGATTCGCATTTAGCGCCTATACTTTACAAGGAGAATACAGGACACTCTCGATCCTCATGTGCATTAGGCAGAACGACGGCCGCGCCATAAACCACCCCTGGTGGAGTGGTTTATTTGGCGACGCGTCTCTCTCTCTCTCTCTCTCGCACCCCCTCCCCTCCTTTTGCCGCCAGGGTGCGGTGCGGTTGACGGAGCCGAGGATGCGAAGACGGTCAGTACCGCTGCAGCCCTAGCTCAAGCTTGTTTAAAGGCCGACGACCAGCTCGCGCTTTGCACCTTTCCCTCGCTTCCTCCTCTCCCCCCTTCTACCCTGTCCATCATTGCCTGTTTCCTTCTCCCCCATGTTAAGGAGGATCTTCTGCCTTGCAGAACCTCAAATGTGGTCGATGGCCTTTAATGTGATCTTCGTTGTAGTCTCTCTCGATATATTCTGGGGAAGTGTCCCGCATTCCCCTAGTAAAGTACTTGTTTACCGTATCGTTATTGAGCGCCTTTATAGAAGGGCGAAAATGATCTGAAAGGGGGTGTTTGGCCGGAAAAAGAGAAGAAGTTGGGGATGGTATCACTTTCTCGCTGTAAAACAAAATAAGCTATCCGTCGCCGTACGCTCAGTTCCCGCCCCAAATGTGGCGATAGTGGCCTGGACCAGACGCCAAAGTTTCAGAACTCACCTTTATCCAATTCAAAAGTTATCGGCAATTTTCGAAGGTTTCCAATAGAATGTTTTAGTACATCGTTCCGATGTCTCCGGTAACGATTACCCGATATACCTCGCCGCCGCCTTTTGCGCATGCATCGTACAGCGTATCGTTAATGGGAGTGTCGCAGGTAACCGGAACGATCTACTAAAACCCTCTAATGAGAAAAATGGGGCCCGGTAGTGTTCGCAATTTATCTCCATGCATTCGAGAGCTCCGTTTGTCGCCGCCATTTTCTCATTTAAACTTTCCGTAAATCGCGTGTGAGTTCTAGGTTGGATAACGGTAACTTCTCCAACTAATCGTCGTATAGGCCCAACCAATTAGCGCCACATTTCGGTGGAAAATGAGCGTGTCGGGGATGCGTAATTTATTTATGTTCTACAGCGAGAAAAACGCGGTCCTTCTTTCTTCCGAACACCCGGTTTACTAATACCTCCTCACTCTTACCATATCCGCCCATCTAACTAAGCGAGCAAAAAAAAAAGAAGGAAAGAAAACATTTGGTAAACGTGCTCTGGGGCTTTTATCCACGAAGTCACGTGACACCCGCTCCTCCCTCCCCTCCTCTGCGCGTCAATCGTCTGTGACTCCGTTCACCCCAAAACTGAAAACGCGTTGCGAGCTACGCTCTCGCCGGACCAACCAACCGCCTCCCTTTGATTACCTGGCGCCGTTCTCTGCGCCTCCGTATGGGCGGGAGCATGATCACGTGACA